CCACGCCGTCTCTCCCATCTGTCTACGGGTGAACAAAACTTCTCCAGTTGCGTTAGAAAATACATTCTGAATTTTGTGCATTCGTTCATACAACTGTTTCGTGTCATAGCAAACACTGTAGGTGACCGTTCCCAGCGGCATATCGGAAGCTGACAGATCGTGGATAACATTTCGATAACTTGCATCTCGTCTGCGATCTGCGATGCGGCGGAAACTCCAATCAAATTCGAGTCTTTAGCCGCGCACGCATCAGTCTCCGTGGCTTGCATAATTCATTTCATGCGAAAGTGCTGCTTGGGAGAGATGGCGAAGAGGGCACGGCGCAACCCTTCATGAATAATGCACCCGGGATGGGAATTACGAAAAGTTTTCGCTGTACGACTGAAAAAAACCGCTCGCCGAGCGATGAAAAGATTCATAACTCGCTATCCAACGGGTTTCTAGCACAGCGTCTATTCGTGCGCGAGTTCGTTCGTGTTTCGGCAACAACATCAAAACCAGACGCGCGGCTATGGAATTAGAGCCAAGAAGGATCAAAGAAGCAATGCGCGCTGCCAGACACTCTAGTTTTCTCACGCATGTGAATCACGCTTTCATTATCAAAGGAAACTTGTCATCAGATTGCAATGTAGTTACGCGGGTGTGTTGCGTGTGCGTGGGGGTTGCTGCGTGTTGCTGCGTATGCGTGCTGTCCCCCCCACGCGCACGCGGGCACATACACACGCACGAACACGAGCTTGCTGCGTGTTGCTGCGTATGCGTGCTGTGCTCGTGTTCGTGCGTGTGTATGCGCCCCCGTGCGCGTGCGTGTGCGTGTGTATGTGCCCCCGTGCGCGTGCGTGTGTATGCCCGCGTGCGCGTGGGTGAAAGCTTGCGTGCCCGTGTGCGCGTGCCCGTGTGTGCATGCGTGTGTGCGTGCCTGCAAGCTTGTGCGCGTGCGTGCTGTTCTTGTGTGCGTGCGTGCGTGCGTGCGTGCTGTGCGTGTGTGCGTGGGCGAGTTGCACGCTGACATTCGAAGCAGCGTCTTGTTTCGACTTTCGTTTCGCCCACGATGCCGGTAAACATCGCCGAGAGAAAACATATCGACGTACGCGTGTGTAGCGTTAAGCCGCTCAATCAACGCGGTGCCCGATAAAACTCGCGCGCTCTCTATCCATCTTCCGAAGCCCAGATAATTGATGGCAACCTAGTCGTTAGCGCTACCGCAACCAAACCGTACTAGATTCACGAAGAAAGATCGGCGACTGATCGTGACAGACGACGGTGCCCGAAAGAAACCCGCAATCACGTGCCAATCACGTGAAATTATCGTAAACCCTCGTCAACGGCACCGCCGCCCCCCCCCCTTCCGCGCCGTAGCGGATTATTTCCCGACGTTAACGATTAAAATCGAACACTTTCGAAATACACGCGATTGATCTGCGTGCGGCGGTAACTTAATGCTGGCGTCTGCTTAGCAGACCTGGCGGTCACGCTTGCACGCACCGTAGCGCCACCTAGCAGCGGCAGGTGTAGACTAAGCCACTTCGAAATCGACTGTAAAATTTACTGGCCGATGAAAGGCGAAGATTCGCCGGGTTGTCGCCTGTGTTACCGCACAGCGGCGCTGCTATTTCGCTGCTATTTCCCGAGCCGCTGGGCCGGGACGCAATTCCGTTTATAAGTACGTCAAGCCGACGCCCCTATACATATACGCATGTTTGTCGCGGGTGTTGGTGGTGGTGGTGTGTGTGTGTGGGGGGTGGGGGGGGTAATGTGTATTTGTGGCGGGTTGTGGCATGTTAAATGTGCGTGCGATACCGGTCTGCGGTACAGCGTGGAAAGAAAACGCCAGGATGCGGTAGGAGCGAAGGATACGGCAGTTCACTGTGCTAGAAGAAAATGCACGGCTCATACAGTCTGTGAATATAATATAAGCACAGTTGCCACAGCTCATAGTGTGTGAAGATATAGCAACACCTCACAGTATAAGAATAAGCCCACACCTCACAGTATAAGAATAAGCCCACATCTCACAGTATAAGAATAAGCCCACGCCTCACAATGGGAGTATAAGCCCACACCTCACAGTATAAGAATAAGCCCACACCTCACAGTATAAGAATGAGCCCACACCTCACAATGTGAGAATAAGCCCGCACCTCACAATGTAAGAACAAGCCCACACCTCACAATGTGAGAATAAGCCCAGACGGTCAGACCTCACAATGTAAGAACAAGCCCAGACCTCACAATGTAAGAACAAGCCCAGACCTCACAATGTAAGAACAAGCCCAGACCTCACAATGTAAGAACAAGCCCAGACCTCACAATGTAAGAACAAGCCCAGACATCACAATGTAAGAACAAGCCCAGACATCACAATGTAAGAACAAGCCCAGACCTCACAATGTAAGAACAAGCCCAGACCTCACAATGTAAGAACAAGCCCAGACCTCACAATGTAAGAACAAGCCCAGACGGTAGACTATTCCCGTAGCCCGGAGCGTAAATATCTATAACCAGGGTTTTTATCGTGGAGCGAAGCTGGCGGCCCGCACTACATATATACACACAAACACGAGTCGGAAGCTCCCATACCGAATACAGGGCCCCGCGGCCAGCTGTGTAAGTATGAGTACCAGCAGCTGTAGAGACCCCGATGTAGGTCCCGATGTGAGGGTGAGAAATATAGGAGAGGAGGTAGTAGAGGTAGGAGACTGCGCGGTAGGGGAGTAGGCAGAGAGAGAGAGAGAAAGAGAGAGAGAGAGAGAGAGAGAGAGAGAAAGAGAGAGAGCGAGAGAGAGAGAAAAAAAGAGAGAGAGAGAGAGAAAGAGAGATAAAGAGCGTTCAACTATTATTAACGAAAACAATATTTTACATCTCGTAAAGAGCACGTATAATACGGTGACGTAATAACGTAGATGACGTATGTGACATAGATAAAGTATACGACCTAAATGACGTGGACGACGTATAGGTGACGTAGATGACGTAATTACGTTCGTATGACGTCATTTCGCGCTAACTGATCGCTGAACGCGAACCGACGCGCGTTACGCGGAGCTTTGATTACATTCGCGGGATTCATTCACAACAATCGTCAACAGCACATTTGCAATGGATGCGCATCTCGCGTTCTGAACGCTGCAACGTTGCACGTTGCAAAAACATTGCAACGCGTCGCACGAACGCAAGCGATACGCACGCCTCTACGGACGCCCGTGTAACATATATACGTGGAGTAAAGTTAGTTAGCCGACGAATGTCTGCTAACCCAGAAGGACGTTTGCGCGGAGACAACGTGTGCAAACATCTAACCGACTGTCTATATATCGTATCGCGTAAGATCTGTTCACAGACATCGGACCAGTAGTGGCGGTTAGTATAGGGAACGACGCATACGAGGTGTGCATACGCTATCCGGAGACATCAATGAATAATTCATCTTCCTGCCTTCGCGCCATGCACGCCAGAGCTCGCGTAACTAATTTTCTGCCATTTGTGCTTTACTTATACTGTTTAGACTTAGCCAACTTATTACTCTATGTACCAGCTAGAATAATGTATGTGAACAATGTATTTTAGTTGATTTAGCTGAAAAGCTCGACACTATTCCCTTAACCGTAACCAAGAAAAAAAACCTAAACCTAACCATTTTAAAACTTTTTTTCAAGGTTTTGTAAACTTAACCGTCGTTAACAGAAGCACTTTCCGTGCGTCGAACTGATACCAAGACAATGACAGCCGGTAAATTTCAAATCGATTTCCATCTAATCTCTCGCATCGAGAGAGAAATTAATTACGCCAGAAGGAAAACTCTTGTGTCTGTGTGTCTCGCGCTCGTTCGCTCAATCATCTCATCTCGTTTGTGCGTATGGCTGTCGTAATCGCCATTCCTATAAAAAGTCATTAACGTTTCCACTTTTCTAAAGATTTGATTAACTCAAAGAATGTCTGCGTCTATATTGCGTGGGCGACTACTTCGTGCGTTGTGACGAGTAAGTAATTAGAAACCACTCACTGTCTCGCACCTATGCAGGCCGCGTCACGTATACTGTGGGGTTGTCCACATATATAGGAAGACATGAGTTGGCTGGGGGCACGCACGCGCGAGTGTGTGCATACGTGCTCGTGGGGTTGTGCACGACCTACACCGGCAGTAAGTAAAAACAGTCGTAGTCCGACCACAAATAGACCCGGGGGATGTTTTACTACTTGTTTCACCACGTCTCTATAAATAGAGAGGAAGCCGAGATGAGGGCGCGAGCGCTTCCCCTCATGCATCTCGGGGGTAAATATGATTGGTGACGCATGACAGCTGTTGCTGGTACTGCTGCTGCTACTGCTGCTGCTGCTGCTGTTGCTGCTGGTGTTGCTGCTGCTACTGTTGCTGCTGCTGCTGCTGCTGCTGCTACTGCTGTTGTTACTGCTGCTACGGTTGTTGTTGCTGCTGCTGCCGGTAGTGGTACTGCTGCTGCTGGTGGTGGTCGGGTAGTGTTAGTGATAATGCTGCTGCTGTGCTACTGCTACTACTGCTACTACTGCAACTACTACTGGTTCTGCTGCTGCTACCTGCAGTACATAGACTGAACTATAACACCAAGCACGCACGCAAGATACAACCAACCACGGTTGCGTGCGTGCTTATATACGATAAGCATTCACCGTTACTGATTCGTCGACACACTCTCACAATTTATCATCCAGTAAGCCGGATGCATCGATAATTATGCTTACCAATTATAAGCTTGTTAATTAAGTTCATTGTGGTGCTGTAATTTATTTTAATTAAAAGTTTCCGTGGAGCAACAATTAAATTCGGGTATCGGGTATATAGTCTCCTTTTTTGATCGGTAATACATAGCGAGACGATACGATTAGGATTAATATACGTACAGCATAATCGTGTGTTCAGACCTCGGATGTGTTCGGATGCACAGACTTCGTCCATTCTTTTCCTCCCTTATACTTACACCCTCGCCTAGCAGGTAATAAAACGCATGACATATAGTTCTTACCTTTAGCGGTCTAACGACAACGATTCGTTCCATATGCGGAGAACTTTTGGTCGTCATTTTGGACGTGTTTTAATATCGAAGTTCCAGTTAGGTTGTATCGTGGACGCCTGTTAAATACAAACCGGTTTCTAGAAATCCCGTCGCAAACATATATATTGCAAAGTAACCTTTGACAAACAAGCGCGAGCAGTGGGTGCACCCGCGTGTGTGGACACTCGATAGCAACACACTGAACAAGTTTTATACTAGCCGTTACGACACGACATACACGTATAACGTAGTAAAGCTGTCGGGATACATACAAGTCGCACGTCGTCTACAAAACCAACTTTCGAGATCCAACTTTAGAAGTTGCACATGTATACAAACGCAGAATTCGTCAGCCGGAACGCCTCCGTGAGTGTGGGCAGGGCCGGGTTTAGCTCACCGTAACAGATTTGGAAAGGTTTTGCCGCTAGCTGGCAGCACCGGCTGAATGTAGTGGAATATTTATGTTGCTACCGGGCAGACATGTGAATGCTATACGATCTTCATCCAAACTGACCAAACAACGCGTCCAAATGATGAATCTATTGTTGATATTAGGCTACTGTTTAAATATACAAAACACACATACCTGTTCAAGAAAAATAAAAATTAAAAAAATGTATTTTCATACAATCTTTGGCAAAAGGCATCACTCATTTATTGGCACGTGCCTGACAAGTTAGTCCTCAGAATTGGCATGTGATAAGTCACATCTGTACTGCGAAATTAACCTGCGTACCTGTATTTTATAAAGGGAAAAAAACTCATCGCTGCTTCAAGAAATTGCGATAAATACATTAATTTGTTGATTTATACAGTGCACATTGGTCTTGCGATTAATACGTATACATGTTTCAGGCGCGGATTTAGGCCGGTTTGCACCGGTTTCCAGAAACCGGTCACAGGCTGGGTATCTTCAGAATTGACCCTCAAAATTCACCAGAATGCACCAAATATAGCCTAATTTTTAAAAAATTTCCGGGGGGGGCATGCCCCCGGGCCCCCCTAGCTGTGACTAGAACTATGGAAACTGGTCACCTAAACCCTCTGGATCCGCCCCTGTGTTTAGGTCACGCGTAGTTTTGCAAGATCGTACGAAATCTATGAATATTTTCCCTATATATCGCCGCGCCGCGAGCGTTGTGAACGTACGAAGGTTTCAGAACTTACGTAGATTGTGATAGAGCTGATACGTAGGTCCGACGAGCGTAGAGTCAGATGTGTGGCGGGGGAACGCCCGCCCCAAGGTCAGTGAAAGTCAGGAAACCGGTCAGCGCGTAGACCCGTATCGATATAATGAATCGGCCGAGACAGGTGCCTATTAGACTACTAGAAGCACGCCGCTGTGTGTGCGCGCGTGTATGCGTGTATTTGCCCCGTGCGGAGTAACGATTATATGATTATAGTTATGGTTATGGACAGGCGCGCAAATCCATTTTGAAATGTGGGGGGTACACGAGTAGCGAGCACGCGAAGGGGGGGTCTGGGGGGCTCTCCCCCAGGAGAAATTTTGAAATTAGACCCCCTCAGATGCGTTTTCTGCGCGAGCAGGGGGGGTCCGGACCCGGGGTCCGGACCCCCTGGACCCCCCTGTACACGCCCCTGCAGACACACACACACACACACACACACACACACACACACACACACACACATGCATTTGGTTTGTGATAAGATTACGAAAAGGGTGTCCACATGCAGTCATAAAATCAAGAAAACAAAAAGCAGAAAACCAATCATTTGGTGTTGAGGCTGATCACAAAATAAATGTCCGTTATTATTGTTGGTCCAGTCATATCATATATGCGTGTATATATATCATCAATTTGCAATGAAAATTACATTATTAAAACCGATGCTCAGTTACTCAGTGTCCTCTTTGCGTGAATATAGCTCGTGTTCCCAGCTTAATCCTTGAATCAGTGTCTAATGTGAGTGATATCTCCTAAACATACTTTCTTTTGATGATTTCTGCATAAGAATTATTTGATATAAGAAAAAAAACGTGTTAAAAAAGAAACGGTACTAAATTTATCAAGACATATGCATTTTTCTCAAGTTGTGCATGATCATTATTATGCTCTCAAATGCACTTGAATAAAATAAAAGCTGGCAAAAAAAGAAAAATGGAAAGAAGTCAATCGTTGACGCACTATCACACACAATAAAAAGGTTCTCACTTCACAAACACACACACACACACACACACACACACACACACACACACACACACACACACACACACGCACACACACACACATACCCCACACACACACACACACTTGCACACAAAATCATGGTGATCCAAAATCGTGGGGGGACATTTGATATGATGTCCCCCTCTGAAAATCGTAGAGGGGACATGTCCCCTGTCCCCCCTGGATTTGCGCCCCTGGTTATGGAGGTAGGCTATACACAGATTATCGGACAGTATTATGTAGGTAAATATGTAATGTTTGTAAGCGATAGTGGCGTAAGCAGGTCAGACGGACTCGCATCCTAGACAGAATAATAGGGAAGTTTTGCTGTGCGGTTTAAATCCGAGTAGTAAATCAACTT